TCACAGTGTTACGACCATGCAGCAAGACTAATCCAGATATGTAGGAGATCATGCAATTATTATTGCTCATACACCCTCACACTCAACACAAGCAACATCTGCATCTCAGTAAACCACAGGAAACTTTTGGATTGGGCAGCATATCAAGTAGAGCTGAACATCTATAGTTTGAGCATTGATATCGTGTGTATCCGCATTAGCCACACTGCTGAATTACATCTTAATTTAATTAAAGATTAAATATAAAGCTTTATCTCTTATTTATATAGTAATGACCATGTTATTTTACATTTGATTGTTATGTTTTTGTACCTGAATACTGTTAGAGCGCCTGAATATTACATTAACCCATCTGTAAATCATGACAATATTGTGTTGGGCTGAAGCCTTGTGGATCAGCGTATATTTGCTTTTACAGCCTTTAATTTAAACATTGACACGTGTTTGATATGATTTGTTTTTACCCATATGACTCAGCCCTATAATAATATATTCTAATCTAGTAAACAGTATCTGGATGCAGCCTTTATGATGCGAGCTGAGACTGCATCACTCAGCGATCCAATTTCAGACACAATGAACTCAATGGAGTGGTGACGTCACTGTGAGCGGCGGGGTTAGGTGAGCCCATTAAAAAGCATTGGATGCAGCTCAGAATGCACTGCACCAGGTCTGACCCCTCTCAATCTAGATTATGTAATGGTTTAGTAGTAGGTCACAGCCTCCACATAGCCACAAACCATTATTTTTGCTGATTTCTTTATGACTTCTTTGTGTTCTTCCACTTATCCAGGGACGGGGTCTCAGGAGAGAACTCCAGACTTCCCTCTGCCCAGATATATCCTCCAACCCCTCCAGAGGGATACCAAGAAACATGATCCCTGCATTGCTTGGGTCTTCTGCAATGCCTACTGTCAGTGGGACAAGCCGGGAAGAACACCCCCAGGAGTCATCCTCAACTGGCTTCTCTGGAGGAGCAGCAGCTCTACTCAAAGTTCCAGCCGGGAGACAGAGCTCCTCACCGTATCTCTAATGCTGCGTTCACATCAGACGTGAGTGACTTACATGCTAAGTCAATGCAAAGATGTGAATAGACGTCCTGTGGCGCGTATGACATGATTCGTGTGAGTTGAGCATTTCAGCAGACATTTGCGCCGCGATAACCAATCATGAGTTTTGTCTTGTAGGGTGCTTTGTTGTTGGTGTCGTGGACATTGTCAATGTATGTTATCTTCTTATCCCCCATGCAGCCTTATTGAGGAGATCCTCAAAGTATTCCTTCCACCGTTTGACAGCATCCACAGTTGAATCTACAGCTGTAGGTGTAGAGCTGCTTCTTTGTCCTGAGGTGCTGGGCGGTTTCCAGAATTCCAGAGGCAAACCTGTAGTTTTCTAGTGGCTCAATAACATTTGGATCTGGTGACTGTGCAGGTCATTGGAGATGATCAACTTCACTTTCAAGTTCATCAAACCACTCTGTCACCCGTCTTGCTGTGTGTATAGATGCATTATCATCCTGACACACGGCACACCCCTCAGGATACTATATTTGAACCATTGGGTGCACATGGTCCTCCAGAATGGATTGGTAGCCCTTGGCAGCTATACTCCAAGCCAGCACAATTATTGGGCCACGGGAATGGCAGGATATTCCATCATTAATCTAGTCCCATGGCTGACTCTGGGCATACTTTACTGATCATCATACTTTAGTGATAAACTTATTATCTGCTATCTATCTTTTGTCGTCACACGCTGCCAGAGCTGTATCTCCGAGGACTGTCTGGTGTCAGAGTTGACTGTGAGTAGAGTAGAGCCAGCAATAGAGTCTACTCCTCTTCATCTTTCAGCACTCAGCATGAAGGAGATCCTCGCTTATGTTCTCTTTTAATGTGGCATCAATATTGGGTTCTGCCAGCTTAATTGAACGTCTATGGTGGTTTAGGAAAACATCATACTACATGTCCAATATTACAACACATTCCCTTTCTGTTCATGTCACTCAGTTGGCATTACCTCTAATAGAGGTCCGCTTCAGGATGGAGTAACACATATCATTTATCATGTCTTTAGGATTATTAATAAAGTTGACTGTTTAAAGGCTAGATTATATGATGACCTTAGGGTCAACACTCTTCAGAGTAAAACCGGAATGATATGGGTGTCATGTTTCTCTATGCCAAGTCGTTTGCTTCCTCTGGATCTTCAGGTGCAAAGAACTGTCATGTGGATCTGGACGTTTAACGCTACTTGAAGAGCTGTTACTAGATGTGGATTCTACTGTGTGCTAAAGAATTAATGATCTTGATGATTCTACTGTATGTAAGAGAATGTCTATGCAGCTTTAAGAGGAAAGATGTTTAGTGTACCATTCTGATAAGATGCCTCCTAGAGAGCAAGACATCCTTGAAGTAGATAAGTATTCTTTGTGTGTGTGTGTGTGTGTGTGT